ATATTTGGATATGGACACAGCCCCTTCAATATCATGGCAACAGAGAAGATCACTCTTAATTTTTGGGTATTTTTTTCTGATTTTCTGGCAACTTTTAGGTGGTTTCTATATTTAGATATTGACCCTGAACCCTGAACACAGCCTCCCCACCTTACTAAACAATATTCCGATTTTTTACATATTTTTTGCTGATTCTTTTACCATTTTTCCTGATTTTATGGCTGCTCTTCTGTTTAAGGGAAAAGGTTCCTGCGGTGATGAAAGGTAAATGAATCAATCAATGAATGAAAAATTTGCCTAAGTCCTCAGTTGATAAAGAATGAGTCTTACTCGTAAACTCGTAAGGACTCATAATAGGTTCAAAAGACACGAAATTACAAACAGACGTACCTCCACAAAGGGTCAATGGATTCATAAACAGTTTGTTGGAGTGTTTTCAAGATGTGAAGTAGTGTCCAAATGAGTCTATGTTGAAGGAAATCGAGACACAGGAAGGTCTTGGGTAGAGTTTAGCATAAGTGCAAAAACACGAAAGTACAAATAGACATACCTCCACGAAGAGTTGACGGTTTCGTAAACAGTTTGTTGGAGTGTTTTCAAGATGTGAAGTAGTGTCCAAATGAGTCTATGTTGAAGGAAATCGAGACACAGGAAGGTCTTGGGTAGAGTTTAGCATAAGTGCAAAAACACGAAAGTACAAATAGACATACCTCCACGAAGAGTTGACGGTTTCGTAAACGGTTTGTCGGAGCGTTTTAGGGACATGAAGTAGTATCCAAACGAGTCTACATTGAGGGAAATCGAGACACAGGAAGGCCTTGGGCAGAGTTTAGCAGAAGTGCAAAAACACGAAAGTACAAACAGACATACCTCCATGAGGAGTTGACGGTTTCGTAAACGGTTTCTCGGAGCGTTTTCGGGACGTGAAGCACTATCCAAACGAGTCTACGTTGAAGCGAATCGAGCCACAGGAAGGTCCTGGGCAGAGGTTGGCATAAGGGCAAAAAGACGAGTCACCGCATTGCCCGAAAATGACGTACT